AAATGAAGTCAAATAAACCATTATTAAAAAATTAAGTATTCTTTCAACAATCAACATTGACGTAAAATGTATATAATTGAAAAGAGAACGAGCAATTAGTTTTGTTTGTTAAGGAACACTGTTGGTTTTTCTATGATTATATACCTAGCGAACACCAAGCAAATGAGATAAAGGATAATAAAAATGGCACGAGCCTTTTTCGCGGAGCTAAAACTTCTTTATGCAAATTCAGTATGAATTACTAAGAACAACGTCAAAGCGAATATTTGAATGCTATTTGTGATATTTGAGGCAAATAAAGAATTCATGGAAAATCTCTCCTTACATATATTTCTTCGCCGTCACTGCACGACTACCACGTGAAAATGCCTAATTTCACGTTTTGTGAAGAACGTAAACAAGCAATGACAAAATATTCTCTCTCTTTATGAACTTGGATATGGTTGATAGAAATTCAGCTCCAGAAGAGTGCGCTTGCGTTTGACAAAGTAAGTGAGTTGGAATAATCACGATAGAGACTGAAAAAATGTGAGTTCACTCTTCATGCGACGTTTTCGTGGTTGTCAGCTGTCGTGGCATATTAAACTCCCTAATATTTACGAACGCGTGATCGATGCAAGCGTGAATACCTGTTGTAAGCTCAAGCTTGTATTTTTGGAAAAGCGTCTGTAGTTTTCGTGTAGCAGACAAGCCGTGATCGAGTCAATAGGCGTCGTGTACGAACTCACGAAAAGAACTCAGGAGATGCTGTTCGCCGATTGGGCACAATAATACAAAGCATTTTTTGTGCCCAATCAGGAGCCAACATTCGCTTAACCGTTTGGAAATGGTCCGGTGAGAGTCGGGTACCCAGGCGCTTTTCCGCCTGTGCTTGAAAACTGTTGTCGCGCCTTTTCTCCCGGCCGACTGACCGCCCCTGGGTCTCCGAGGATGGGTATTCAAGGATCTTCCTCCCTCCGTGTAAAATGCCCATTTGATTTTTCAAAGGCCGGACACCTCGCTAAAACGGGCAGGTAAAGTTCTTCCATGCCTTTCCGAGTTTACTCTCTACAACACGGACAACTCACTAGAACACAGACCCGGCTAGGGTGGGTCCCTTCCCTTCTATAACCCTTAAAAGTTGCCTCTCTTTAAGACGGACATATCTCAAAGATAGTGTCGGTACCAAAGGTGTCCATTTTAAAGAGAGTTGTCGACTGTAATAATTTTTAGGTAACATTAGGTTCTGTTGAACAGACTTATACGAAAAAAATGGCATGTTCGGAGCCATGATATCATGCACCCACGGCAACACTTTCTCGAAACCAATTTTTGACCGGAAAACTAGGTAAGGTAGTAAACAGTCCACAGGCTAAATACTGCACTGCAAGGGTTAGTCGTCAGGTTGACCATTTGTCATTTGCCTTTTAGGATGGATTCGTCACATGTCACGCCAATTCAAGACAGTTCTAGCCTGGATTTTGGACTCTGGATTCCACGCTGTGGATTCCGGATTCCAGGTACTGGATTCCAGTCTTTGTTAGTGGAACTTGAATTCTTGATTCCAATCCCGGATTCCTCTATCTGTATTCCAGATTCCACAAGCAAAAATTTGCCGGATTCCGGAATCTGAATTCCCTTATATGCGGTAAATGGATTTAAATCAGGGTGAATAATACAGCCTGTCAACTTCCTTTCGATTGCGAATACCCCGCCGCCGGGACCGAGAGTTGACTCCTTTGAGGGGCAAGTCAAGTCAAATATCTGTTCGGAAGACGATTTGAGATCTAGAATTTTCGGAACATTTGTTGTACAATTTCTTGCTTGCCTGCCTCTACTAGGATTCTCGAACATCTGAAAAAATGGTATAATTGCCCATTTTCAACGGATTTTTGCCCTAAAAAGGTCACCTAGAATTTCCGGGAGCCTTTTTTCTGGCTGAAATTTTCAAAAAGGTAAGTTTTGATCCCTACAATTTTCGGATCACTAGACTTTCAGCTAGGAAATCCGAACATATGAGAAATTTTTAGGGGATACAAATATGCTATATCTACTGTTTAAATACTAACAAAAGTTTAACAATGCTATGTTTAAGTGGTTTTGAACTATATCCTCGTTGGGTGCCCCTGTCCTTTTAGCGGAAGTCTGGGGAATGCGGAAAGAAATTGATTTGAAGGCAGTTGTCTGAAAATTTTGATTAACTATAGAACCTGCCGCTTAAGCGCAGAAAGTATTTGCTATCCTGCCAGCGAGAGGAGAGTTGACCATACTAAAATTATCGGCGGAATATTCGTTGAAATTAAAAAAAAAAAAATGAAATACAGTTTTTATCAAAAAACCCAATAGCGTCATTGGCTTTGTACCCAGAATTTCAATGCATACAGGTGGGCCTCTAACTGACCTTAACACGGAGTCTTTGTAAGTTGCATCGGAGTTCATAAAAAATACATTCATCCCCGCTCCTCGCTGTGCCTCGTTTTCGCTAACGATGCAATTTTTAAACACTGTTGTGAAGCTGGAAGCATTGTTCCATTGTGTCAAACTTAGTCCCCCTGCCGCCTGTCCCGCTGTATTCCCTGACAAATTCGAGCTAACCATTGTGAAGTTGTTGCCCACGGCCAAGTCAGATTGCTCGACGTAGAGTCCACCTCCGATCGTTGCGCTGTTTTTCGCAAATCGAGTATTTTCTATCCAAGCCCGGCAAAATTGTGCGTTTTTTCTGAACACAACAAGAAGGCCTCCGCCAACTTGAATTATTTGTGATACATTATAGGTTGGCGCGACAAATTCTGTAGTGTCATTTGTAACGGCGGAGTTGAACTCGAAGATAGAGTCTTTGACTATTAAGGAAAGATTCCCAGCCTCTTGATATAAAAATCCCGCTCCACCACCTGCGGAAGTGACACCTTCTATGTACAAAGGTTCCCCTGAATCATTTCCATTGGAGGTGTTGTTCAAGAAATGGCAACTTTCAATTGTCACGCTGCTATCAAAAGCATTGATCCCCGCTTTGGTGTTGTTTCTAAATACGCAATTCGTGAAGTTAATATCCCGAGAATTCCAGATTAAAACAACAGCAGCAACAGAGCGAGAACTGCAGTTTTGAAATTCAAGGTCCACAAAGTTAATGTTTCTTGTATTACTCGTGTTTGATCCTATCTCGATTCCAGCCTTTGCATCCGCGCAACGAATAATCGATCGACCACCAGTTGAGTTACTGCTAGATTTCAGATACACGATGACCGAGGTACTTGTCTGGTTAATTTTGACGCTCTCGTTGAGACTGTAAACGTTCCCAGCGTCAACCAAAAAAGTGAAAATCGTTTCATTTCGATTGCTTGAGTCCTTCAAGGCTTCCAAGGCGAATCCTAAGGATCTACACGGAAAGGTTGCATTCGATTTCCGACAAGATTTATCATCTGTTCCAGTTCCCGACACTCGGACCACAAGGCCGTCTGAGACCGACTTAGTTGTCCACACTGAAGCGATCACAAGTATAACTGCTGATAAAAAGCGGGTATGCATTGTTCGTAACCACTCAAACTGAAAGATTTTCAACTATACTCACTCTTCCAGCAAACCGAAATCGAAAGAACTACCGTGACCACGCCTACTTCCGGATGTCTTTAAATGCCGAGGGACTCTGGGGACGAAGGAGTAGCCTGCGTAGCAGGCGTCGCAAGGGGTAGGGGATAGGGAGGAAGGAAAAAGGGAGGGGATCGCGCTTTTCGTCCTCCTCCTCCCCTTTTTGCGCCTAGGCTACGAAAGGCTACGAAAATGTTTTCGTTTCGCACCTACCGAAGAAACCAAAACATTAAAACTTGCTAAAATGGTGCTTATAGAGGGCAGGAAACAGTAAGAAAACAACGCTGAGACACAACTCTTTATCAGGTATGCAGTGGTGGATCCAGGCCTTCAGATAAGGGGGTCGGGGGGGCGGTCATCCAGACTCTGAGATAAGTAGGGGGTGGTCTCAAAAACAATTTTTTTCGGCCTTTTGGGCCTTAGTTTAGTCTAAAAATGAGAGGGCGGGCCTCCCGGGCCCCTCCCCCGGATCCGCCAGTGTATTCTTTATTAGTAAAATCCAACTAGTGGTCTATTATCAATGCTGCGTTCTGATTGGTTGAGCTACTACTAGGCTATATGTTATAGCCCACTGGTAGCGAAAAGCGCGGGCTTTTTGGCGGCAAAAAAGGATTAAAGTCTAGCTTTAACTAGCTACAATTTCTATTATTCTCGATCGATATTTTAGACCAAGTAGTTGGATTTTACTAAAACAATTATTCCTCTCGCCCTCATGGCCTCTGAGTCAATAGCCCATTCGACCCATTTGGCCTATTCGGCCTTCGGGCTCGAGGAATAATTGTTAAATAACTGTTTTTGTATATTTCAACCGTTTTATCGATATTACGATATAGTAGGCTGGTGTGATTCTGGGCACCCTGTGGTAGAAAACATGCCATGTATGGCTAGAAATATTTCTAAAACTCCAGTCCTATGAAAGTCCTACTCCTCATTGTTGCAAAATAGGATGAAAGACCATCAAGGTGGATGCTCCTTGAATAGTGTCAAAACTTTTCTTCTAGTTTTAGTGGGTGAATTCTGCCGGCACACCTGCCGCCATTAATCGGAGCCTGTCACCTTTTTGGCCAGTTTACAACAGAGCATGCGTGTGATCAAAGATTTTAGCCCAATCTCGACCCAGAGCGCTCGAAAAACACTATCCACTGTTTTAGTATGCACTAAAAAGAATTATGCAGACTCAGAGAGTGCTATCTTTTCAGATCGTTTTGACGCTATTCTGTTCTTTTGACAGATGTGAGGATGGCCGTACGGTATACCTCAAAGACGGCTTCTGGGGTGGTTTGAACAAGAGAGGTGACTTAGTCCCTTTTTTTTGTCCATTCTAGTACTGCAATTGTACAAGCACAGCTCGATTGCCCGGATGTTTATTTGATCCGCCACTGCGCTGATAACCGTGAAGGATGGCTGTGTGGAAAGTGCAGTCGATACTTGCGTGGGATTGAGGTAATTGCTTCTACGGATCAGGGGAAGGCAGGGGTCCGGACCCCTCTTAATGAATCCATTATATCATAGATTATTTCTTTTTACTAATAGATTAAGCGCTTTGAATCTGAAATTTCTACCACAATGCATGTTACTCAATCACATGCATGCATATTCAAATTGGCCTGTAATGAAGTTACAAGTACAGTACCTGTCACGAGCGCGCTAGCCGTGACGAAGAATAAATTTTCATCTGTTTGGATTTCCTAGCTGAAAGTCTAGTGATCCGAAAATCATAGGGATCAAAACTTACCTTTTCGAAAATTTCAGCCAGAAAAAAGGCCCCCGGAAATTCTAGGTGACCTTTTTAGGGTAAAAAGCCGTTAAAAATGGGCAATTATACCATTTTCTAGATGTTCGAAAATCCTAGGAGAGGCAGGCAAGCAAGAAATTTTGCAACAAATGTTCTGAAAATTCCAGATCTCAAATCGTCTTCCGAACAGATATTTTCCAAAAATTGACGTTGGGTGCCTCCGATTATTTGTTTTAGTATCCCTGGGAAGCCCCCCAAGGGGATAAGATAATAAGGGGGGAAGTAAATATTCGAACATAAGTATAGCTTAAGTAACACAGTCAGTAGATGCGTATACAAGGTAAAATGACATCCCCCTTTATTCGTATTCACTACAGAAACTCTTTAACCCTTTAACCCCTAGATTGAATGATGGATCATCGCCGTGTGATCTGTCCTTGAAAACCTTTCACTTATGTTTCCTCCTTTAAACAAAAGGAAAAATGAGCACTTTGACTGTCGATGTATTTAGCATGAATGTACTAATTGAGGACACTGTTTGGAGATGGGGCGGACATTTTACGTGGACATCCTAGCCACGCGAAGGTCTAGCTGTTTGCAGGGCAAAGGCAGTTATCTTTAGACCTTGAGTTTTGGTTCGGCCTTGGGATCATAACCCCTATCCCGGGTTGGACTTTACGTTGCGGTTTTCTTTCTTTTTATTAGAAACACTCTCAATAACAGGTCAAACATTTCCTATTAAAGTGTTTTCAAAATGGCTGCGACCGTTTACGAAAGGGACAACTTCGCCGCCTACCGTTACTGACTGTATGGAAACGAGGCTTGACACGTGCTTCATAAATTCATTAATAATTCATAAAGAAAATTCAAAGGAAATATATGTTTAATGAGTGTTTGGATATCAGATGAAAAACTGCTCATTTTTGCATCCCTAATTTCTCCTTCAAAAACGATTTTGTTTGAGAAGAAATTATGTTTGATATATTACATCCACATTTGCTATCATTGCATTGTTATATCGTTAAGAAATTGTTTTCAGGTAAATTCGCTTGTATTTGACAAATTGCGTGAGTTATTGGTATCACTGGGACAAAAATTTGAAAGTACGCCAGTTCACCTTAAATGTGACGTTCTCTTGCTGATGGTTAATTTTTAGCCTGAAGTCTGTTTTCCCGCCCGGCAAGAGCCATGCCCAGTAAATTCTAAGATGACATCCATTTTGAATGACGTCACAGATCTAAGGTAGCGCCATATCGTTTGAAATTTATATCATATTTTACAGCCTATCACGGGCTTCCTATTAATCACTTAATCTTTCCGAAATAAAGTAAAATTGCAAAAACCCTTTTTACATGTCTTTGATTTTGACATTAGTAAATAAAACTGAATTAGAAAAATTCTGATTAGATAAATCAGAAATTTCATTAAAATCTAAGATGACAGTCAAGATAATGCCAAAGATCCCAGATCTCGCACAATATTTACGTCATCTTGTAGAGCTCATCTAGCTATTAGAGTTTAATCTTTCCAACACACTGTAACGTAGTAAGGGTCCATGGAAATGAAATGTATCTAGCCCCTCTACCAACCCCACCCACCCCCGCCTCCATCAGATTTTACCAGGGTGCGGGTGTCGATTTGCTGATATGTCCGAGCGTTAGCTGAGGCCCGTTGAGAAACATCATTTCGTCTTCTGTTTGTCCAATTGTAGACCTAATTCGAAAAAGGGTGAGGTTACTCTCATGGTGCTGGCCGATTTCTAAGTTATCAACGCTTGGTTTCTCGAAGCCGTTTCTGCGCTGGTTGAATAGCTACTTGAGTGACCGGTCACATTTCGTACAGATCGATGATCGTACATCTCAATCAGTGAACGTACGTTTTGGTGTGCCACAAGGGTCGATCCTCGGCCCAATGTTATTTAATCTCTACGTTCCGATCTGCAAGATCATCTCCCTTCCTCGATTGGTTCATTTCAATACGCTGACGATACTACAATATACTCCAGCTGTCCAGCTCCTGAGCCACAAAGATGTGCGCAAGAACTAAACTCCACTCTAAACGCTGTGAGCTCCTGGTCTAACGACTACCATCTAGCACTTAACTCGAAGAAGACAAAGACGATGTTGCTATCCACAAGCCAGATGTCACATGTACATAGTTTAGATAAGAACCGACCAGCTGTTACAATCTCAGATAGTACATTAGAATATGTAAATGTAAGTAAGCTTCTTGGTGTCCATTTCCACCAGCATCTTAATTGGGATGAGCACGTGAAAGCAACGTGCAAGAGCTGTTACGGAACAATACAAATAATAAGAAAACTTAAGAACTTTGCTGGTTATAGACTCAGAAAGCACTTAGTGGAGTCACTGGTGCTGTCAGAACTTGACTATTGTGACACTGTCTATTACCCTTTGCCGGAATTTCAACTAAAACGTTTACAACGTGTCCAGCTAGTAGCTGCTAGTTTTGTCCTGAATAGGTATGTAAATGACATTAACGATATTGTTAAGATAGGGTGGTTACCAGTAAGACAGCCAAGAGATTTCCACGTTCTCAAACTCGTTCACCAGGGTTTGTACTCCCCCCGCTGGTCGTCTTACGTACCACTAGATACAGTTAAACATCTGCGATCTTTGCGGTCAGGAGCAGCAACAAGATTAACGATACCAATGGAGAGGGGCACTTTTCAAGACTCTGCTGCCAAGTTATTTTATGTCCTTCAGGGAAAGATTAGAAACTGTAGCGATTTCAAAGTATATTGTAGGGAAGTTAATGCCTGTCTATTAAATAACATTTGTAAATAGTTTGTAAATTGTATATGGGGTTGTATTACTATCACTAACCTTTATAACATTTTTATTTTTTAATACAATATCCTTTTATAGTCTGATATTTTTGCTTTTTATATTGTAGATCTCATTTCAATTTTTTTTTGTAGTATATTATAGTTTTTTCATTTTTTGTATTGTAGTTTTTAACAGGTGAAGAGCCACTAGGTGGATACACTGTTAATAAACCATTATTATTATTATTATTATTATTATTATTATTATTATTATTATTATTATTATTAATTAATTAATTAAGGTTGAAAAGGACCAGAAAATAACTTCTTTATACAAAGCATAAAAGTGCACGGTACACTACAATTAGCAAGAGCGGATAAATGCCGTTATCTCTGTTGTAAAGCAAATGCTGTATGAAGCCACTTTAGAAAAGAGGCTGGTAAGTTTCATATCGGAGAACAATCGAAGCGGCACAGGTGGCCCGGCCGGACTCTGTATTTGAAAGTTCAGTGACTGAGCACAGCTGACTACAGCATTCTAATTTCCTCTAAGGAATGGTGGGAAATTCACGGTAGTGAGGAGTGAGACGAGCGCAGATCAGACTAACTGTGTTACAAGGTCCTGACTCCAATGGAAGCATGCAAAAAAAACGTTGAGTAAACAAATACATTATACTAATAACTGTACACATATGATTCTAAACCTATTCAAGCTTGAAATAACAGCCGCTGCATGTGCTTTCCGTGGTCAAGCTACACCTAAGGGTTTGTTACTCAAAACTTGGTTACATTTCCAGGAAACTGTTTATGAAAGCAGAGTGGGGACACCCGCGAAGTTAAGTTCAGAATTTTTACACTGTTATGGAGTTCCAAACGTCCCCGTGTGTTTTTAGTTTCTGTTCTTTAGTAGCAAGTAGGGACGCCAGGAGACGTTGAGTCACTTCTGTCGATGATTTCGGGCCGCGCAGAGCTGTTCGCGTCTGAAGCTATAAAACAACAACAACAAAACAAGATGATTAGAGAGTTTTGTGGCATTTTTAGGGGATCAAATTTACCACAGATATTAGTCGTTACTACTCTAGTTAATGCCTTTCCGCCATGAAAGGTAATCCAAGACAGTCTTGCATTCTAGATTCCACGCTGTGGATTCCGGATTAGTGGAACTCGGATTCCGTATTCCGGATTCCGTGAGCTGAATTTCGGATTCTACCAGAAAAAAATTCCCGAATTCTGAAATCCGGATTACCTTACATGGAGCGACTGAGCGGAGGGCAAAATATTGGCTTAGGGGAGGGGTAGGTGGGAAGTTTCCCAGAACAGTATAATGATCCGCGGTGTCTTATACTCCAAAAGATGGTTAACGTTCTTTCTTTTATGTCTGTGGATAACACGTGGCTACTCAAATAAGCTACTTCATATCATAGGTGACGAATTACTCCTTAATTGTGAAATTACAAAATTGCCATGGCAACCTTCCGTACGTCTCAGTGTCAAGATGGCGACGAAGTTTTAAAATGCCGTGAATGAAGAGGTCAGGGCACAAAAAACGCCACACAAGAGAACATCAAGAAGGACTCTAACAGGTATTTTGCTGAAAACGTCTGAAAAATTCTGAACTTTATAAGCCAAATTTAAGGTCTAAACATTTGAGAGAGTGGAATTCTCGATCGATACGATCCAGGATAAACATGTCAAAAATCCAAGATTGCTAACGTAATTCGTCACCCATGATATTAATAGGTAATAGGCCCTAAAGGCTCGGGAAATTATTAGGATTTGGACAAAACGCCCGTGAAATTATTCCCTAATTTCACTCGTCACCATTTTGATTACACGTACTAATCCTTTAGGTAGCAAAACCCTGATGGAGTAGAGATTGAGTGAAATTCTCTATTCTGTTTTTAAACTCGTAAATAATAATACGAACCCGGAAAGCTTGAATGAGTTAATCTCATTACGAGAAACAACATATGCCTTAAGAGGAAAGGACATTTTAAAAGTGCCCAAGGACAACACAACACGCTTTGGACTCAATACCTGGCGGTATCAGGCGCCCAAGATCTGGAACAACTTGCCTGATGTCGTAAGAGCGTCGTCCGATTTTAAAACATTTAAAAGACCGTTAGAAAATGAGTCATTAATTTAGTATCGACGAATCGTCTTTTTAATCAATTTTGTAAATAAGTTTTAATAGTAGTTTATGTGTGACAACTCAATTTTAATTGTAAATAGTTTTTATATTGTTTTAATCATATTAATTTCTACCTGAATGTTTAATTTACAGTGGCATACTTGTGAATTAGCTGGTGAAGTTTTAATTTTTTTAGCTAATCCATGTAGCTAAGAGTTTGCGCCACTTATAATGCATCTTATCTTATCTTAGTACTTTCCTAGCTGTTTATTATGCTGTACCAGGTGGTTCCGTGTAACTCTTAATTCTGTGGATGAATTCCTCAAGTGTGACCATTCAAATGAAATTTACCCAGTAGTACTTTCGTTGAGTTATGTTTGTTATACTATACAAGGTGGTTTTAGTTGTGAGGGTGTGGATGAATTTAATCTTGTCCCCGAGGGAGGGAAGGATGCACAAAAAGACTAACCACAATTCGAGACCCCTGTAGGTTTACTGAGGATCGTATCCAAAATGCTTCTCCGTCTTTCAATTTCGGTGTCCCGGCTTTCTTCATTTTCAGTGTTTTCTAATTCCTGGTATCTATGCCTTTGATCGTCTGGTGTCTCCTCGCCTGTGCAGCATTTAAATCGCCTTCGACAGAAGAGCCCAGCCTTTAAGAAGAATACCACAAGCGTGTGAATGGCGGCGGTGATCAAAAGAACCAGGCAGACGTAGAACGCAGTTTCCTGGTCCTCAACAGTTTGCATCATTGCCAGTATGGAGAGCACTAGCAAATACACAGATTCGGCGTAGTTGGCACGTGGTCGCATGTAAGGTTGGCAGTTACTGTGTACAGCAAGGATTACCATACAGGCGACAGTCATTAGAATCTAGAAAAATGATAGGAATATCTTATGGAGATCAAGCGAGGAAGAAGTCCTTGGTCTAACATCCCCCCCTCCCCTCCCCCTCAACCAATCTGGCCTTCAACGTCTCTCCATCAATTCTATGTACATATAGCCATAAGGCCTTAAATACATGTCGGGTTCTTTGAGAGCGATTATTATAACTCACTCAATTGTGTAAAATGTAAATGGATTTTCTTCGGTTTGAATTCCGCCCTCTTCTGTCTAAACCCTCTACTAAACGTCACAGCAAACAGCTTCACATCGTGCCCATGCTGTGCAAGAGGCAAAAAGCACCAAAAAGTGGATAAACGTGCAGAGTTTTCCTTGTTTGTACCATGTTGGTGATCAAGAACAAAAGCATTTCTCTCCTCTGGGTACTAAACTCTATTTTCACGTAAATTCTTCGAGGTAAAATTATATTGTATTGACCCTCGACATGGTCGCCTTGTCACGTGGTCACAAACCAAGAGTAGACCGTTTCACTCACGTGGCCAACATCTGTATGTTAATTTATTGGAACAAAAGAAAGCGTTTACATAAGAAAAGAGTTCAACTCCCACAGGATCAGTTTGGAACACCAACATGGCGGAAGTAACGTCATGTGGAAACTCTATATTATTTTATGTTTTTTGACATTTTCGTTGTCCTCGCCATTACGGTTGCTTAAACTGTTTAACGTTTCCGAGGGTAGAGAGCGGGGATCAATTGAGGTTTCTGGGTTACTGACCACCTACCCCCGCCCCCCTCCCAAGTCAACATTAACACTTACTTGTCATTACTTAGGGCAAAGCCATTGTGATTTAGGGGAGGGGTAGGTGGTCAGCTGCCATTATTCTCTCACCTTTTTGGTCTTCCAGTTTGCAACAAACGCATAAATAGCAACCAGGAGTAATCTTCGACATAAATCCACTGACCACCACCAACAGCGTTTGGGGCGCAGGCTGTTAGTCAGTGTATCACTCCACTGCGGTTTAACTCTCCAGTAGCCATTAGTTAAAAGAAATACAGCTATAGGCGGTGGGATGACAAGTACCACTAACACGATTATGGCAACTATTCCTGTTGGTAGATGGCTGCCATGGAAACATTGAATGCTGCCATCGTAAAAGAAAACGTGATTTCCGGCAACGTTTGGACAGAACAGGATCCGAAATGACGTCTCCACCAGGTAGTTGTAAACGAAGAGGAGGAGAAACCAAAATGACCGCAGCATAGAGCGTTGGGGCCGACTGAACGTCAAACGGTGACTGAACAAGTACGCCAGGAAAAACACGGTCAAGACTAAGAGAGGAACAGCGTAGCCAAACGTAATGGCGTATAAATTGTTTATTCCCCGAACGAGGCAGGTGTTTAAAAAATAGTTGAAAGGGCCTCCAAAGTTAAATATGTCCGTTGCTAGGAAAATGTAAGTATTTTTCCCGATAGGATCAAAGATGAAGGGAAGGACCTGATAGAAAAACAGCGGTCCTCTAAGCTCGCTAGAGATGCCGGGATTGAGCCAGATGATGACGACACACAAAATAATCACAATAGGAATAACCAAAGCTAGCACCCATCCAGACTTGGAGCATTCTACGCACTCAGTTCGCCTGTAAAAAGAAGAATATTGTTTCATAATTGGTAAACAGCAAGTTAAAAGTAAACATTGATGAAAATAAGCTAGTAGACGAGTTTAACCAACGCTTACAATGCAAGCTCTTTCGTTTTCTGGATTTTCATTATCCGCAAAGTGTATAAAGGCAGTCCACGGAAAATTGTTGTGCAATTCCGTTTTTTACAACAACATTGACATTTTTTTAGCATCCATTTCCGGCGAAGTTTCTTGGAAAATCGCGCGAGAGAAACAGATCAGAGAATAACAAATCGTGCCATCTGTCCTAGCCGAGAAAACAGACGACGTTTCCCGATGCCACCACAGGTTTCCCCACGAAATGACGTCTGATCGACAAACGAGCGCAAAAATTCCATGCTGATGACGCGTCACTTTCAAGATCACGGTTGTGCTTCTGATTGGCTGAAAATTTCCTTCGACCAATCAGAAGCACGACCCAGATCTGGGTAGTGACGCGTCAACAGTATGGAATTTCTGTGCTTGTTTCTCAGACGTCATTTCGCGGGGTGGTGGCGTTGCATAATGTCGGCTGTTTTCTCAGACTACATCATTCCGTCTATACACCAAACAACAATCAGCGCGCAATAAATAGCTCAGTTATTGTACAATATATACGTTTTTAAGTAGTTGTGGCCTACCTTAACCCAACGCTAGTTTTGGCTTTGCATTTTCCGCACATCCACCCTTCACGATTATCAGCGCACTGGCCATCACTGTTCTCAGCACTAAATAAACACCCGGGCAATCCTGGCATGTTTGAACAATTGCAGTAGTTGAATGGACAGAAGTAGGTCACGAATTCTCCACTGCTCGTCGAGTTTCCCCAGTAACCGTTTTTCAAGAATACTTTGTTACCATTCTCGCATCTATTGTTTTAAAGGACAAAGAGATGTATTATCACTAAAGCAAGCTAGGAATTAGCTCCTACACATATTGCATGGCGCCAACCGTTCGCACCATGACCGGCACCATGTAAGAGGTGCTTACCATTGCACAAACCACTCGGGTGAAAAATCTTGTGAATAAACATAAAAAATAACATTTGAAGTGGTGGGAGAACGACCGTCTCGATACAAAATTTATCCAAATCAACTGAACAGACGTGACAGAGTGGAAAAATTGCATCGCCCCGAATCGCAGCCCATAATATCTGACGCTTCACAAACGCAATAGCGTGAACCATTTGATTTTCCAACCGGAATTTCCGGTCTTCCCATGTAAATGGTAAGTACGATTCCGGAGACCAGGGAATTTTTGCTTGTTGATCCGGAATCCTGCGCTTTGGAATCCAGCTAAAGACTGGAATTTCACAGATAAGGAGTCCGTTATTCAGTACCTGGAATCCGGAATCCACGGCGTGGAGTCCACAGTCCAAGAATGTCTTATATTACCTTACATGGTGCAAAAGAGTTAATTTTATCTTCCCTCCCGTCTAGATATTAAACACACATCGACTGCAGGGAATGATTCCAGAGGTCCATTCTCGAAATACCTAGGACAAACCGTGCTTCACCATGGATTAGGAAAGAAGAAAACTCCAGCACCAAGGGTAAAATAATGAATTTGTAACGTATAATTATCACCTGAGGTAATAAGCTTATTTGAAAAAGATATCGTTGTACATATTTCTAAAAGTACTGTCGACTTCCGAGAACTCGAACCTTCTTGGGAAACAGCAAAAAAGTCGAGTTATCGGGAGTTTGAAGCAAATAACCGGACGCAAGGAAATAAGCAAATGGATGGGGAGGGAATGCAATTTAAAGCAACAGAGTATACAGGGATGAACATACACTGAATTTGATTTGGAGTGACAAAAAAGTAAGGACAAAGAACTGACACGGTTCTTTTGAAACAAATTCAATATTTCGGACTTCAGTACACGGTTTTTCTCCCGACTTGCCACGCGCTTACCTCTCCACACCCTCCAGCTTTGTATTACACACGCACTTTTTGAAATGATCCGAGAAGATGAAACCTGGATGACAATCTCTTAGTTCCAATTCGACAGAAAGTGAGTTGTTTAGCGTCGAGTATACATCTGTGAACATAATCGTTCGGTTCTTCTTACGTCTTTTGTTGTATACGCCTTCTGTTAGTCGAAACGAAAATGGTACAGATTCATTGGGAAAGACCACAAACAAACTGTCATCGAGCAGAAGTTTCTGTGCGCTGTTTAGTCGGTCGATTTCAAACGCAAGAACACTTGTGATTACATCGCCGCCGAGCTCATCAACGGCTTTCAGGCTTAATGGGACGAGTTCTCCAGGCGAGACCTGAAAC